CCGACCGCCCGCGACCGAGTGCGGGCATGAAACCCCGATAATTTTTTCGGGGCCTAAAAATAAGAAAAAAAAAAAAAAAAAAAAATGGGCGTGTAGATTAAAAAAAGCTCTACACGCCTATGATTTTTAATAAAATTTTTTGGAATTAACTGAAGGGGAAAAAATAAAAAAACAAAAATGAAAATAATAAAAAATATAAATAAAAAATATTTTTGGTTTGTTGGGCTGGTGGCAAAACACTGGCCCACACACACACACACGCACACACAATCAATCCAGCAATCAATCAATCAATCAATCAATCAATCAATCAACGAACCAATTGCAATCAATCAATCAATCAATTTGATTGATTGATTGATTGATTGATTGATTGATTGATTGATTGATTGATTGTGTGTGTGTGTGTGTGTGTGTGTGTGTGTGTGTGTGTGTGTGTGNTTGATTGATTGATTGATTGATTGATTGATTGATTGTGTGTGTGTGTGTGTGTGTGTGTGTGTGTGTGTGTGTGTGTGTGTGTGTATGTGTGTGTGTAGCATATGTGTATCACATGCGCTTCGCACGAGCACGACACGTCATGCTCTTGCTACTCCGACTAAACAGACGTCGGCACACTGTGAGCAAAGAGCAAGACGCGGGAGGCGATATTCAACCGCGGCGAGGTAAAACCACTCGGTATGTTCAATTTGTGGTGAGGGTAACCACTGGGCCGTTTATCGGGTGAAGTCAGCCAAACCTGCGCTGGCGGTGATTCGAAGTGAAGGGGGGTAGGGGTGCTTCGTACTTTACGGGGGCAGCAATCGGATCATTCATTCGGAGAGAGGGGGAGGAAGACGTGTGAACAAACCATGAAAAGAAGATGATCCTGAGAACCAAAACACAGAGCAAGCATTGATGACAAACTCACACCCACCAAAGCTCAGATGCAATCAAACACCTTCTTATCGGGATACTATCCTCAGTCAATCAATAGGCTGCCATATGATCAAACAAATTGACAACGGAGAAAAGTGGGAATGCTCTCCACAGTATAAAAATGGGGGAGGGAGAGAAAGAGAGAGCGAGGGAGAGAGGAAGGAAGAGGGAGAGAGAGAAGAGAGCAGGAGGACAGGTAGAGGAGGAGGTAACGGAATGTGAGAGAGGGAGGGGAGATTATAGAAAGGAAGGAGAACACATCAATAAAAAAACGAGCAATTTCATGAAAGTTTTGTTTCAGAAGGACAAAAACAGTACGATCAGTTTATACTTGCAAAAAAAGTAATTACAAGTTCTATTGCCCGTCCCGTATCCCTGTTATCGAACATCCATGTGGTTCCAAGGGGTTAGAAGGAAAGACTGGGGGATGGAGAGGGCGGGGGGAGGAAGGGAAGAAAAGAAGGGAAGGGGGAAGGGGGAGGGTCATATTCCGCTTCAGCTCTCTTCTCCAGACCCATCGCATTCCTGCAGCTGCGCGGATCATCTCTCCGAATTGCGGGAAGGGCGTGGCAGCTCCCTGAAGCGCTTTTCTGCCACATGCCACCTGGGGCGTCATCAGARGGGGGGACATCTTCCACGATCTCTGGAAGGCGGGGGGGTAGTGGTCGGGTTATGGATGGGGGTGCATTGAGATAGGGATGATGGAGGGTTGCGGGGTCGAGGGATGAGGGATGGGGTGGGGTGGAGGGGGAGGGAGGGGTCCTGCGGGAGGGGTTGGGGAAGAGAGTAGATGAAGTAGAGGAAGGAAAGGAAGGAGAGAAACGAAAGGAAGGCCAAAAAGGCGCATGTCGAAGCCTCCGCCGCAGTCCTATGCTCCATGGCGCCGCTCCTCGCAACGCACTACGCCTAGCTAATAACCACACCACCCTTCGACGCCTAACAAAAAGAAGAGGCAGCAGCAGTTGGCGAGAAAAATGGTGGCGAAGCAGATAGTACAACCGATTAACAATGCAAAGCGCCCAACCGATAAGTGGAGAAAGATTCTCTCGGAAAGACATGCGACCAGCATCGCGCAGGCTATGGCGAGGTTGGAAAGAAGGGTAAGGAAGAGGAGGAGTATGAACGCGGCGTTTCACGCTGGTGCGGAGGGGGGTAGGCGGGACAGAGCATGTTCAGCAGGGCAGGTAGCGGCGGTATGCATGTCGCTCGGCCGCGGAGTGCTTAGGCGTCGGGTTACGAAAGCAAAACTGGGAAAGTGCTGACTGCCAGGAACGTTATCACTTCGTCTACCTCCTGTTGCTCTTCCTCCAAGTCCCAGTCAGCAAAGAAATCCATGCCACCCACCGCCTCACTCAACCCTTCACGATTGCGAAAACTGGAAGCCCTATTTGCTGCCAGAACGTTAACCGTATGGTGATTCGATGAATAGAACCCCTCGCGTCTTGTTCTGATATAGTCGTGGAGTCCGTCCGAGAATCGCTGCCTTCTGATGCAAGCTATCGCTTCCATCCACCTATTTATACGCATCTATCCTACGGCCAGAAAGAGGACTTAAGAAGGGACAAAACAAAAAAAAGACAAAGAACGACGAAAAAAAAA